TTTTTGAATGTTTTATTATAGAAGAAATATCATTAATGAATATCAGGAACAGAATCGGACCAAGGTGGCTTCCCTGAGGAACTCCTGAAGAAACTTTAATGATGTTGGAAGAACAATTATTAACAATAACTCTTTGTGTTCTATCAGAGAGGTAAGATGAGATCCATTGAAGAAGACTGGGCTGAAAGCCGATTAGGTCGAGTTTACGGATGAGTAACGAGTGACATACTTTGTCAAAAGCTTTACTGAAATCGGTGTAAATTACGTCGGTATGAGCATTTTCTCTAAAACCGTTTGAGACATGAGTTGTAAACTCCAATAAATTAGTCATAGTAGATTTTCCTTTAGAAAACCCGTGTTGAGATTGTGTAATTGAAGAAGATATAGAATATGTCAGCTGGTTAACAATAATTGCTTCGAATAATTTGGGGATAGCGGAGAGTTTCGCTATGCCTCGATAGTTTTCTATAGACGACCTGCTGCCATTTTTGTGAAGTGGTATTATGAAAGACTCCTTCCAGGCTGACGGAAAAACGCCATGTTTAAGTGACAAATTGAATAGAGTTGTTAAAGGCTCGCAGATGTTCTCAGCGCAGTTTTTAAGAAAACAGGTCGGAATATGATCAGGTCCAGGCCTAAATGACGCTTTTAAGGTTTTTAAAGAGTTTAAAACTTCATCGGAAGATATTACTGGAATATAAGCAGAGTTGATTGGACAAAGCTGGTACGGATAGTCTCCACTTATAGGGAAGTCTACAGAATAATTGGACCTAAAGAACCGAGCAAACATGTTGGCAATGAGTTGGCTGTCGCTAGATACAGTGTTGCGATAATGCATAGCGGACGGAAAACCATGTGCCTTACGCTTTGAATTTACGAAACCATAAAATGATTTAGGATTGTTAATTAAATTCTTCTTAATTTTACATAAATATGAATTATAACATTTCTTATTTAATGCAAAGTAGCTATGCCGCAAAACTGAGTACCTTAGGTAATCACTGTGTAAGC